AGTCTGGGTACTTTAGAGAAACAAATCCACAGCAACTCATGTATAAGAGAGAGTTTTAAATAAAGGGTAAGTGCAAATCAAGAAAACATCCCAACCCAATGCTGCCCAAGCCCACAAGTCCAACATTAACCCATTAGTCCATATGTCCAACACCAATCCACAAAGTCCTCCTCCATCTCACAAAGCAGACGCAATGAAGCTGACTGCAGGAGGAAAGCCAAGTCAGGGAGTGTGTAAGCATCTTAGCGCTGGCAGGGGTCTCCATACGGCTGCTCAGCACCCAGGGCTGCATCGGGATAGGTCCATGTGGCTTCTCCTTGGGGATGTCTTGCAGGAAGTGAGCCTTGTCAGTTGAAGCAGGGAATTGGCGAAGGCAGCTGCACCCTGGTCTGACCATCAAAAAGCAAGACCCGAGAACTAGAAAGGCGAGGCTCACCAAGCCATTTATCCCTCCAATCTTCGATTAACCACACAAGTGTTTATCAGCCAGGTTGGCACAATAAACTAACTCACAGGGTGAGTCATGAAGTACTGCACCCTGGTGCGACCATCACAAAGCAAGAGACCCGAGAACTCGAAAGGCGAGGCTCACCAAGCCATTTATCCCTCCAACCTTCAATTAGCCCCACAAGTGTTTATCAGCCAGGTTGGCACAATAAACTAACTCACAGGGTGAGTCATGAAGTATTGCTCCAGAACTCAGATCTTTTTATCATATAGGGGCATCAAAAGGTGAAGTTGTTGTTTCTTGGTATATTCTCCCTTTAGGCCGATACACCTTTGAAGAGGATCTTTCCATCTCTCTAACCTTCCCTGAAGAACTCTGCCCTCTTCAGCCTTTGCCACCTCAGAATGGTCATTTCGGTAACCTCGTGGAATTCAAATCATGTTCCTTTGAAACGTTCTTTGAGTGCTGGGAACCAAACAGAGTCTGAAGGGGTGAAATCCAGCCTGAAGGGCAGATAAGGTCAAGTGGCCCAAGGAAATTCTCACAGGACAGTCTCTGCTACCCTCAAAAACGGAGTCCGCATGTTGCCACGATGGGGAAAAAACTGGGGGCACACGTTTCCTGGCCTTTTTCTCATCACTGCAGTTTTCCATGTTCTCAAAATGTCCTCATCAGCTTTCATCCTTTGACCTTTGAGAAAATGTATTGAAGATGACCTCTTTGGGTTCCCCAAACTGTGCTACCATCCCGCTTTGTGTTGACCTCTTGGCCTTGAATTTAACCGGCTCAACAGGTCCCTTTGAGTACTACTGCTTGACTGGACCTCATTCCCGGAATCATTTTGACAAAGCCAAGACTCATCCCCAGTAACACTTTATCCAATAAAAACCTCTTCATTAGCTTCGCTCTCGCTTAAAAGACTGATGGAAAGATCAGTTCTTTCAATTAGCTGCTCTTTTACACACTGCTTCTGGCACCCATTGAGCCCACAGACGTTTGAGACCAAGATATTTGCTTAAAATGGAAAATGTCGAACCATGTTAGGTCTCGGCTTCAGTAGCTGTCACGTTAATCAATAACCTATGGTTTCTTAAAATCATTTTATTGTGGGATCATAGCGCTCTTATCACAATCCATACATCTATCCATTGTGTCAAGCACAGTTGTACATCTGTTGCCCTCATCGTTCTCAAAACATTTTTTTTTTCTACTTGAGGTCCTGGTATCAGCTCCTCACTCCCCCCCCCTTCCCCCCACCCCATGGTCATCTTCCATCAGTTTTCAGACTCCATTCTCCACTCGTCAAGGTTGACAGTCTTCTGTCTGTTGGCTTTGAGGTCTTCCCAACCTTCCTTAAGATCTACACACTGTTCTTTTAAGGGGAGCAGCCTTCCCATAAACTTGTTGCCAGACTTCAGTGATTCGAGAAGGTATCTGCTGAGTTTTGTTTAAAATTGGATATTAGCTCTGATTTCAAAATAACCTTTTCCATAGCACCAAAAGTATCTTTTTTGTTAAGGTACCTTAATGAAGCTAAATGTATGTAGTAGTTACATAACTTGTCAATTTGAGACTTAAGAGTGAAAGGGTAGAGTTTAGCCAGTCAATCAGGTCACAGCTTGATGACCTCGTTTGGAGGTGCTAAGGAGATAAATAGCTTGCTGGCGGCAGGACAATGGTCATTCCCTGGGAGACACTCCTGTTGAAAAGACACATGGAGCTACCCTAGAGCCCTGGAGCTGAAAGAACCAAGTGGAGACCCCTGCCAGTGCTGGGATCTTTCCACTGCCACTGGATCCACAAGACTTTCCACCCACTGGCCTGTGATCTTCCTCCATTCAGCGTCATTGTGTATGTTGTGTGAGTCTGAAAAGGACTTTATAAATTGGTATCAGACATATGGGTTAATATCAGACTTGTGGACTTGATCTGGTCTGGGCTGGGATGTTTTCTCTGTTATATAAAGCTCTTCCTTACACACGAGTCTCTATGAATTTGTTTCTCTAGTCAACCCAGACTAACACAGTGTAGTACTGAGAGGATTTACCTGCAGCAACCTGCAGATCACAGAGACTTGTTTAACGCATAATTTTCTTGGAATAATCCCGAGCATGGAAGCACTGGAACCCCACAAGAAGTCCTTTCACTTTACCCGCGTGCGTGAGACGTATAGAATAGCATTGTGTTTCCTCATCACATCACCAACCCATTGTGAAAAGCTCTTGGCCTCCTTTGTCTGCATATGTAGAGTCAGGGATACCTGGACCCCCTTGAAAGATGAGTGAGTGAAGGGAGTGAAGGCCATCATGTGGTCACGATTTCAACTGTCCTTACTTTCCCCATTTTAACTTTCATTCGAAATTTATCTTAAGTGCACCAAGAGTAGTGTCTACACGCAATAATATTCTCCCCAACCCTTTTTTTGAAACTGATAAAGTAGACCATCCATTCTGCAGTACCAAGGACAGGTGACACGAGCAGCTGCCTAGAATGAACCCAGACTTTACAGGTTAAGGCCACAACCCTCCACAAGACTGCTGTCTCAGACAGTCACCACCAACTCAGCACCACCCCCACTTTGGACCAAGTAGCCATGAATCCTGAGGTTCTCACTACTCTATTGGGTTCAAGAATTCATTAAGATTCCTCACAGAACTCAAGAAACACTATGCTTACAATAACAGTTCTGCTATCATGAAAAGTTGGAAATCAAGCCAAACCGAAGGATGAGTGAGGTTAGGAGGTGTCCCACACAGAAAGTGTCCCTTTTACTGAAGAGACGGTCAGACTCCTGGCACAGCAGTGTGTAGCAAAACAAAGGATATTGTCCACCAAGGAGGTTCCACTTGTGTTTGGTGCCTAGAATGTTTGTTGGAATTTCATTGCAAAGGCATGATGGATCGAATCAAGGCCACACAATAAAACTTAAACTCAGGCCTCCTTCTGCCTCTGCCACATCCTGGAAGCTGAGGTGGTATCATGTGAGTCAAAGCTCCAAGGCTCTGTTTAGATGGTCATCTTTCTGGTGGGGCCACCCCCCCACACCCCCACAATCATCATCATAGCATAAACTACCAAATGTGGTCCCAAGGGGTCATCAAAAATAACAGTGGGAATTCCATGGGTTTAGAGGCAACTCCCAGGAACCAGGGAAAAATCAAATGCGTTCTTTCATACCTGGAATGCGATGTAGCCACGGAATGTGTGACATACATATCAATTATGATGACAGTAATTTGACTAAAAATCCCCAAAGCAAACTCACTGTCATGGAGTAAATGCCAACTCATAGTGACCCTGTAGGACATGGCAGAGCTACCTCTGTGTTTCTTGTACTGCGACTCTTCATGGGAGTAGAAAGCCCCGTCTTTCTCCTAGTGAGTAGCTGGTGGTTTCAAACTGCTGACCTTGGGGATCACAGCCCAATTTGTAACCACTATCCCACCAGAGCTCACCATAATTAGAATAGTAATAGCTCATGGTATTCAGTGACACACTGCCCGCAGGTTTATGTGTGTGTGTATCTGTGTACACTTATGTGTAGAGGTATTTCTTCATCCTCGAAAGAAACCTGAGTTGCACAAAACATTGAACAATTATGCAAAGAGGAAGCTAAGATATATAGGAGAACTTGTGTGCAAGGTACCCTGGCCAGTAAGGGGGAGATCATTGGAACATGCATTCAGGCATGGCAGTACCTCTCAGGGCATTCAACGTTAGAACCCATGGCTAGGATGTGTGCCGTGAGTGGAGAGAACAATACATACTTGTCAAAGACAAGATACCAAAAGCTTATTACTTTTGCAACATTCAACAAAAGTGCTACCATAATTTGCTGATGTGTAGAGGATGGTGGAGGGTGGTGGGTGCTGGCAAATTCCACTGAGAATAAGTTGACCACCTTTTCTAAGACAGTTGACGATATGGAAAAGGTATGTGTTGGTCTGGGTGGACTACAGAAACAAATTCATAGACACTCATATATATAAGAAAGAGCTTTATATAAAAGAATAATTGTATATTGAGAAAACATCCCAGCCCAGTCCAGATCGAGTCCACAAGTCTGATATTAGCCCATATGTCCGATAACAGTCTATAAGTTCCTCTTCAGACTCACACAACACATGCAATGATGCTGAATGCAGGAAGATCACAGGCCAGTGGGTAGAAAGTCTTGTGGATCCAATGGCGATGGAAGCATCTCGGCGCTGGTGTAGGTCTCCATGTGGCTCTTCCAGCTCCAGGGCTCTAGCTCCATCTGTGTAGGTCCATCTGACTTGGCATCAGGAATGTCTCTCAGCAAGTATCTGTGTCCCACCTCCAGGGAGGTAGACAGGAGTTCCCAGAATCCTCAGGAGAAAGCCATGTGCACTCAGAGGCCTTATTTGCTATGACCCGACTGACAGACAGGGCTCCACCCCTATAACCTATTTCCTGAGTTGACAGGAAATAATGTAACTACCACAAGGCGTGATGTGTTGAAAGTCGCTGGCGCCAGGCTGTTCTTCAGAAAAGCTAGCAAGTGGTTTGCTATTTTAACAGAGGGAGCCCCACACACAAAACATCAAGACAAGACAGTAAGCAGAGCAAAGATTTAATAGACAAAGTACGTTTCAGTCATGAAGCAGATCACCTCTTGATTTGAGGAAGACAACCGGGTCTAGGGTTATGATCAGGGGTTTTTCAGGAGTCAGGTGGCAGGACCCCAGAGGCTTGCGCCTGAGTCCCTACCCTGCTCAGTGTTGGGATGAGTCCCTGGACATGACCAGTGGCGTGGATTGTGTGAGGCAGTCTGGGATGGGTCACCCAGTCCTCTCCTGGACTCTAACAAAAGGAAACTGTGTATTCCAGCATGTAACATTATGAGATACAGGGTTTTACCCCGAGGACACACCCAAGTATGAATGCGAGGGTCTCCTTCATGGCCACACTCTGGGCGGAATAGAGGAGAATAAGTGTCTGGCACTCTTAGGATGGCCGGAAAGTCTGCATGTTCATTTGTATCCCTCCAAGCCTGGAACAACTCCCCCAACGTTCCCAGTCTTTTCAAGTAGGCAGTAGTTCTAACCCCAGGTATCCGGATGTTTAACGTTGCAGGAGGCAGTGACATTCAAGGACGTGGCTGTGGTCTTCACCGAGGAGGAGCTGGGGCTGCTGGACCCCGACCAGAAGAAGCTGTACCAGGATGTGATGGTGGAGAACTTCCGGAACCTGGTGTCTGTGGGTGAGGGCAGCCTCTTGCGGGGAGGGTCTTTATCGCTTCAGACTCTCAAGGATTCACATGGTCTGGGAATGGTCACTTACTTTTCTGATCCACTATTGTCCATGAAATAGAGTAGGAGATACCAGGCTTCAGGAGGAAAGAAGGACTGCATTACTGTAGGGGACTCTGGCCAGTAGCATCCAGGCTGTGAGCTGGTGGAGGAGATGCAATGAAAGCAGATGTTGCAGCCAGCCAGCCAGCCAGCCTTTATTTCAGTGATGCCTAGTGATGTGTCTACCAACTAAAACCAAACTTGCTGCCATGGAGTCGATTGAACCTCATAGCAACCTGGTAGCAGAGGGTGGAACTGCCCGTGGCAGTTTCTCTTTACTACCAGCTAACCAACTACGTTAGACAGGGTTCTCTAGAGAAACAAAACCAGGACACTTATGATTACATATATATACAGCATGAAGGAATATAACAGCTAATTAGTCCACACAGCAGTATAGAGGGCTCAGTTCAACTCACTTCCCTGGAACAGTTAATATACTGGAAGTCCTTCAACTCATGAGGGCCGCTGGGTCTAAGGTCAAGGAAGCAGATAGCCGAGTCTTCCGTAGGGCAATGCAGGCAATCCAGCCACAGGCAGAAAACTGCAGGCAGCTCACCAGCAGTCAGTAAGACGACAGGCTCTGCCAGCCTCAAGTTCAAGCGATGTACACACTAGCAGCATGGCGAAGCAGGTCTTGAAGGAACCTCAAGCTCTAGCAACACGATCCATGGGTTGGGTGTTCCACAGGTAGTGTAGCTCACAAGTTGAGGCAGAGAGCTAGCAAAAGCAGCTGCCTGCTGGTCCTGTCACTAGAGAGCAAGAGAGAAAGAGGCGGGGCTTGCCGAGCCATTTATCTATTTGCCCTGTAATCAAATTGTGGCATGATTAATCCCACATGTTCCTATTGGCCAGGTTGGCACAATAAACCTACCTATCACACCAGCTGCCAAATTTCTTGGTTTGTAGTATCCCCTCTCCCCCCACTTCTCAGCCACCACTCTATTATTCACAAGTTCTCTGGACTTTTCTGCCCTGCTTTTTCTCTTCTAAGGATCCATTTGAATACTGAGTCTACAGATGCTATAGGATAAACTTACTCTTTTAAGGTAGTAACTGATTTCCTTCCTTCCCCCTGCCTTCCAGGCCCATCCGACTTGTAGCAACCCTACAGAACAGAGTAGAACAGCTCCTGTGGGTTTCCCAGGCTGCCAGTCTTGAGGAGAGCAGACCACCTCCGTGTTCTCTCAGAGTGACTGGTGGGTTTGAACCTCTCATCCTTTGGTTCACAGCCCAACCTTGCACCCACAGCACCCCAGGCCTCCTGAGGGTTACCTGATTAGCAACTTACAATTCCACTTGCCATCACAATTGCCCTTTACCATGTAACCTCATATATTTCTCCATTTCTGGAATCCAGGTTTGAAACTCTTCATGGGTCCTTATTCTGACTACTGGACACCTCTGTCTCTTTCCTTTGCTTCATTGCCTGGAATACTCTCTTCACCTGAAATCTTCCTGACCTCATACCTTAGTTCATTCAGGTCTCTGCTCTGTTGAAATAGGAGCGAGGCCTCTTGCCTGACCACCTTGTTTTAAAATCTCACTCTTTGCCCTCTCAATTTGTCACACACCTGTTTTGGTCATTTCCTTCTCCCCTATCACTCTAGGTGCACTACCACCATCAGGAGTGAAAGTTTTTGTCTCTTTGGCTTATTGCTTGCTCTTCAGGTCCAAGAAATGTCCACAGACATGGCTGGCATCTGTACAAATTGGTTGACTTCGAGAATCAGTTAATGTGCAGAGGAGAACCAGTTAATGTCTTCCCGAGTCATGGAGCTAGCCAATAACTGAGACACAAACCAGAGGGAACAAGATCTGTCCAGAACGTTTTGTGTCTTTGGACAGGTACCTAGCGAGGCTCTTGCTTTCTGAGGTGCCCTTGTGGGGTGTGGGGGTGGGGGACTTATGTGCTTGTCGGGGTACAGTTGACACACATCCTAGGAAGACACTACAGTCCTGTGGTTGTGCTTGTATCGAGCAAAAGCTCTCTCCGTTAGCTTTCCGGGAGCCTTTCAGAGGTGAGCCTATTTGTTTCCAGAGCAAACTAGATTTTTTAAAGAACATTTTGAAGTTCTCTTCTGGGCAGGCCTTTCAAGAAGGGACTGGACATTCTCTCTTTCCTGAGGTCTTAAACAATAACCAGGAAAAGTGTAATTTCCCATCAAAAGACTTGATAGCTGCCTTGACAGCTTTGGCTTATTCGCTCTTCCAAAGTCCACAAGCCCATCACTGCCCCAAACGCCAACACTCACGGCCATTGAGTTAATTCTGCCTCATAGCAACCCTATAGGACAGGGCAGCGCTGCCTCTGTGGGTTTCCCAGAGTGTTAACTTCTTATGAGAGTACCAAGCCTCATCTTTTAGAGTGGTTGGTGGTTTTAAACTGCTGACCTAGCAGTTAGCAGTCTAATGGGTAGCACTGGAACCACACAGCTGAGTGTTCCCTACACTTCCGATGCTCTCAGCAACTTGCCAGTGAAGGCCTTGATAACTTCCTACATTAACATCTTCGCACATTTGTGCCCTTAAGTCAGAAAGGCACCTCTCATTGTTAACCATGAAACATGCCATGTGTGTAGCTTTGTGGGTGACTTTAGAGTATTTCCTGTAATGGCCTTTTGGCTAATGATTTTCTTAATGCTTAGTACAAGCATTCAAATGTATTTCACAGTTCACCATGGGGTGTGATCTTCCATTTGGGAATCTGTTGTGAGTGGTCATTGTATCCATAGCCACAGATTCTCAATTCTCTTGTCTTCTCAGAGATCATCCAATAGCCTCAGAGGGAACCTGTAGGTAGGCCCCTGGGCTTTCTTCTCACTGAAGTGACTTGTTGTGACCAGTGATTTTTGTCCTCAGCAGCAGCATCTCTCTTGGTGAGCTCCTGTCTGTGGTACAGCCATTCCATTTCCCAACAAAGCTGCTGCCATTCTCTGCTCCTTTCCTATGTTAGAGTTGGAAAACGTTTTTTGTTTTTTCCTTTTATGGCTCGACTTAAAAGTTCACAAACAGGTTGATTTATTCCTTCAGCTTGTACTTGTTGAACCTAAAACTTAGACAGTGAGCCTAAATCAGATAACAGCTTGTGCTTGTTGTTAGTGCCTTGTATGGAGAAAGATGTAAACAAAAAGGGCATAGCTAGTGTGTCGGATGGTGAGAAGAACTGTGTACAATATTCACTGAGTCAGGGGCATTTGTCTGAGGTGAACTAACCAAGGGTAGGGTTTATAGTTTTTCAGGGAACTTGTTGATGGACTTCCATGTGAACAGAAACCTCAGAAAAGTGAAGATTCATCCTCGGACATATCTGGGCGTAGAGTTCCATCTAACATCCTTCTCAGGATTTGCTTTCAGAAAATTGTACCATTGACCTGTTCTTTTCTTTCTCAGTTCTGTTCTGTTAGCAAAGATTAGCTTGCACCAGCTCAGTGTTTGCTCCCTAGAGATGATAAAGGTCTGAAACATTCTGGGCCCTTTTCAGCTCTTTAGGCTTTAGGGCAATTTTCCAATAAAATATCCCAAGGCAGAGTTCTCCATATTCAAATGGAATGTCTACTAAAACAAAGGCAGCCTCTCTAATTCAGCATTCCTTCAGGGTGGAAGGTGACATGCTCCTCTGTAAAATTTCCTTAGAGGGTACTTTTTATAGTATTTCACTGAAAAATTTTCTGTAACAGTTATCTTAAAATAAGTAAACTTTCGACTATCACTTAATTTTTACATATTTTTCAGTGTATTAAAAATATATACCACAAATGTGTATATATTGCTGATTCATTTATATTTTTTAAATGATTTTTCTGACTACATAATTTACTACCCAACATTTTATACTAATTGAAACTCAGTAGAAATAGCAACAAGTTAGCCATTTGTATTATACTTACCTACTTTTTAAATTAAGGGTTTGATTTCTAAATTTTACCCCATAGTGAATTTGCTGTTTTCTAATGTATTTTGCTAATGCTTGGTGGGTTGCAGGAGCCTTGGGGGAGGGTTACAAATTAGGTTGCTAATTACAAGATTAGCAGTTTGAACCTGCTGGCCATTCCATAGGAGAAAGACCTGGCTTTCTTCTTCTAGAGGTTGACAGTCTCAGAAACCCATAGAAGCAGTTTTCCTCTGGCTATGAAGTCACTGTGAGTCAGAATTGACTCTATGGCAGTGATTTTTTTTCTTTTGGTAGTGGGTTGAAGCTCAGTGGACCTACCCATTGTTTTGATGGCATGTAAGCCAGAGAATGTGATAAGTGATGAAAAAGGTGAATCGAATCTTCTCTATAACTCTGAATTCTCTGTACAGGTGGCAAGATCCCCAAACAGATGGAAACTATTCCACAAGCAGAAATACAGGAGGAGCCTTCCAGCGTCCATATCTGGCAACAAATCCCAAGTGACTTAAAAAGGTGTCAAGATTCTGTGACACATAGGTCTGAGTTATGCAAACAAGGTGGTTCATCCTCCCCAGTTGTAGGAGGACTTTGTATTATTCCCAAAGGAAGGAAACCTCACAAGTATAATGAGAGTGGAAAAACCTCCAAATATGTTTCCTCCTCTGATCTTCATCAGTATTCACACTCAGAAGCAAAGCCTTTCACATGTGGTGAGTGTGGGAAAGGCTTCCGGTATTTCTCACGTCTTCGTAATCATCAGAGTGTTCACATGGGAAAGAACCGCTATAAACGTGATGAATGTGGCAAGGAATTTAGTCAGAGCTCACATCTGCAAAGTCATCTAAGCATCCACACTTCAAAGAAGCCATACAAGTGTGAGGAATGTGGGAAACACTTCAGGCATAGAGCAACACTTAATGTTCACTGCAAAGGCCACAAAGGGGCAAAACCTTATAATTGTGAAGAATGTGGGAGGGCTTTTCTGTATCCTTCACATTTTCAGGCACATCAGAGAATTCACACAGGGGAGAGACCGTTCAAGTGTGAGGTATGTGGTAGGAACTTTTGTCGCAGAGCAGCACTTAGTACTCATGCCATGGTCCATACAGGAGAGAAACCTTACAAATGTGAGGAGTGTGGGAAAGCCTTTGCTCGTAACTCATACCTTTTTATCCATCAGCGGATTCACACAGGAGAAAGACCATATAAGTGTGAAGAATGTGGTAAGGGCTTCATTCAGCATTTTCAATTTCAAGCGCATCAGAGAGTCCACACTGGGGAGAGACCATACATATGTAACATATGTGGGAAAGGCTTCATTTACAGTTCAATACTGCGTTCCCATCAAAGAGTTCACTCTGAAAAGAAACCATATAAATGCGAGGAATGTGGGAAGACTTTTAAAACAAAAAGTCACTGTCAGGTCCACATGGTAGTTCACACAGGAGATAAACCCTATAAATGTGATGTGTGCGGGAAGGGTTTTAGTCAGAGTGCATATATTAGAATCCATCAAATGGTCCACAAGGTAGAGAAACCTTTTAAGTGTGAGGAGTGTGGGCAAGGCTTCAATTGGATTTCAAAACTTCAAGTCCACCAGGTGATCCACACCGGTGAGAAACCATACAAATGTGAAGAATGTGGCCAGGGCTTCAGTCGTAAAGCCAATCTTCAAATTCATGGTAGAATCCACACCGGAGAAAAACCTTATAAATGTGATGTGTGTGGGAAAGTCTTTAGGCAGGCTTCAACACTTGTGGGCCATCAGAGAATCCACAGTGGAGAAAAGCCATTCAAATGTGAAGAGTGCGGGAAGAGATTTTGTCAGAAGTCACAACTCCATTGTCACCAGAAAGTTCATGCTAAGAGAAAAGCCTTAAACATTTGAGCGTAAGAAGGGTTTCAAGTGGAGCTACCGTCTCTGATCATCATCGGAAGATATATGCAATAGAGAGTGGTGGTGTGGTAATACAGTTATACCTCAAGTCTTCTTTAGGGCCCACATTGGAAAGAAGCCATACAAATGTAATTGTCACCAACATCACTGCCGTCGGGTCAGTTCCAACTCTTGATGACACTACATAGGATTTCTGTCTGAGGCTGTAAACCCCCCCCCCCCCCAATTAAAAAACTCCATATACAACAAATTTGCTTTAAAAAATATTATCTGTCACTCCTGTCATGCTGACAGTGGACATCTATACACTTGCAGGACAAAAGTCCAAATTTGTATCTGACAATGGTAGGTCGTATACATTCAATATGATGAACACACAGGACTGAGCCTTTAGAAGAGATGTGTATTCAAAACACTGCCTATATACTAAACACTGCAACACTCTGCACACCAGTAACGGTATCTTCCATTGTACTTGATTAAAAGTGACTGGCTGAAACAAGCTAACACTAAGCACACTAAAAACCACAATTCAAGGATCTACAGTAGGCCAGAATGTACAAAACACAACTATAAAACCAAGGAACCATTAGTCATGTAAGATTTTAAACTGCACAGAAATACAATTGAAAACAGCTAAGTCATATTTACCTAACCCTTGAAGATCAAAAGTTCAAGGGTAAGTTCTACCAACACAAGGCTTCACCAGGCTGCATAAAAGGAAGCAATGTTCTCTTTCCTGGTGTCAATCAGAGCTTTGAATCCCTGGGGCCAAGTCTTCTGTCTCTCATATCTGGACAAATCAACAGTTTATCTGAAATCCTTTCTTTCAGTTAAATCATAAGCCAGGCTAATTTTCACTTACCTCCTTGTAAACACGCTCCTTTGTGACTTCCTCCAAGTTGGCATTTGCCAACAGTTTCTTGACTGTTTCTTTTAAACTCTTCAGGGTGGGTGTTCTTTTGAATTTCTTAATTAAAAATTCATCGGAACTATCCTCAGATTCACTTTCTTTTTTGGAAAATTAAAAAAAAATCATTTTATTAGGGGCTCTTACAGGTCTTATAACATTCCATATATCGATTGTATCCAGCATATTTGTACATATGTTGCCATCATCATTTCCAAAACATTTTCTACTTGAGCCCTTGCTATCAGCTCCTCCTTTTCCCCCTTTGGAATTTTGATTCCTTTTGCTGGTGTGCTGCTGGCCTTCCTTATAGTAGCAATTTTGACTGTTTTTTTTTTTTTTTGGCTTTTTTGCAGAGAGTTTTGGTTTTTCTCTTTTGGAAGTCTTCTTGGGCAGCATTCAGGGGGGCTGCTGGTCTCCCAAGAGTGCTTTGGAAATAGGTTCAGTTTTGCCATTGTTAGTCCTTATATTTTTTACATGTAGTGGATTTGTCATATCCACCCTTTTGGCTTCTATCGTAATGGTCAAAGCATTCATTACAGAATGCTCCCCACAGGAGACATGATGCCACTGAGATGTGTCGCCATTCTTGGCACATCTTTCAGAAGCCCTCAAAAACCACGTAGGACGTGTTGCAGTACAGCCAGCCTTTTCATATACTCTGTACTTCTCTGCCCCGCCCTCTTCATCCTCATCCCTTCTCTGTTGTGCTCTTCAGTTGCTGCCTACCAGAGCTTCTCAATGGAAGGCTATCTGTAGAATGGTCAAAAGGTGCCTTTTTCTTTGTCCTTCCCCTTGAGTTTGCCATTGTATCAAAAAACCTTTCTTCCTGTTTGGTATTAGAAGGAGGAGGATGCAGAGCCTTTTGATTCCCTTCCATCTGCACCACGAACTTGGTGTTCAGTTCCAGTTGTCGTTCGCCAAACCAGGATGGAAACTTTTACCTTGCTATCCAACATGTTGGTGGCACTTGTCAGGCTGCTTAGTGCACCCACTTAGTCCCATGTGCTCCGCAGCCCATCCCAGGAGCATGTGACATGGGGCTCAGCCATGGGCCTGGAATGGCTGCAAATCTTTATGGGAGTAAAGAGCTTTATCATTCTCTAAGAGTGGCTGGTGGGTTTGAAATGTGGACCCATGGGGTTAGCAGCTAGAAGTGTAACCCACCATGACACCAGGGCTCCTTTGCAAGTATTTGTGATAAAATTTTCTTTCAGATGTCAGAACTTCAGTATTAGCATAGAATTCACAGGGGAGAACTTTAGAAATGTGAGACATGTTGTAAATACGTCCAGTTAGGCCTTATAAGGTGAATCCATGGTGGTGATGAATTTTATAAAATGATGAGAGGGCAAGAACTTGTGGGATACTTGGAGTAAAGAAATTCTATTGGATGGTGTTTCTTGACACCCCCCCCCCAAAAAAAAAAAAAACTAACTCAGAACCCAAAATTTGTGATCATTAGGTTTCATAGGAGGGAAGACCTTTGTCATGAAAGTCAGTTGTTTCAGACATTGCTCAACAAATCCCCTGGTCAAGGGATCACACAACAGATAACCCCCCTTGTAAGTAATGCACTAAGGAACCCAGGTGATATGGTGGGTGACCAGATGGGCTGCTAACCACAAGGTCAGCAGTTCAAACCCACCAACTACTACATGGGAGAAAGATGAGATTTTCTAATACTGTAAAAATATACAATCTCAGAAACTCAAAGGAGTAGTTCTGTTCTATTATAAGGTCCCAATGAGTCAGAATCCATTCCAGGGGGTTGGATTTTTTTGGTTAAAGTGTAGTAAGGGCTTCAGTTTTAAACATTACTCAGGAGACTGACCTTAAAATTAAGAGTTTGATGATGTCTTCAAAAGTATAAGAATGGACACATCAAAAACTATTAAATAAAATGAATCCAAGCTCCGGGATAACTGGGATATTGTGAATCCTCACAGCCACAGCATGTAGCAGTTCTTGGGTGTGCTCAGTACTTATTTGTTAAAGAATGAAAAGGAGAAAACATATTTGAGAGCTGTACCCAGGGGAAGAAACAGGAAAACATTTCTGTGAAATGATGATTAGGTGGTATGTGGGAAACATTGCTGTTGGAATACAGAGTGTTTTGAAACTAGCTTAGTTGGCTGTTGTCCTCCAACTATCCTTGGTTCTCAAGGTTATTTTGTCCACCGTCTAGTCCCACTGATGTTTTTCTTTTTTCAGTTGCTAGAAAGTAGACGGAAAAACATTACCCATTTGTCTTGTTCTAAAAATTGTGTTGATTGAGTTTTTATATCTACTTTGTTATAGTTTGAGTAAATTTTCATTTATGTCACGAGGTAAAGATCCCACTGTATTGTTTCACTTGTGGAAATTGAGTTGTCTCTAGACAATTTATCAATCAGACTGTCAATGGCCTTAACCCCTTGTTGAAAATCAGTTAACTGTAGATGTATGGTTTTATTTCTGTTCTCTCAACTCTTGATATATATTATTAGTTCAATGCCAGAATATTTTGATGATACTATGTTTTTTGATAGCAGTTTCCTATAGTGGACAGTACTGCCCCTTAGGGGGAATCCTTGTAGTGCTGAAATTTTATTTGATGATTTCTGTGTATATATATATTTCTTCTCTCAAAAATAAAACAAACAAACAAAACCCTCATTTGGGGAGAGCTAGCACAATCAGGAAGGGCTGCAAAAGCAGATGCCTACACTTTATCCTGGATTACAGTACAAAAACATTAAATTGCCAGGGGCATTGGGTAATTTATTATTTCCTGAAAAAGACAGTAGGTCTATGTTTGGGAAACTATGATCTAGATCAGGGGTGTCAAACTGGTGGCCTGCAGACCACATGCGGCCCCCGGGGTAATTTTTTGTAGCCTGCGATGCTCTGAAATAAAATGAAAATAGAAAAAATTGTTATGAAGAAAACAGCACTTAGGGGAGATCGAGGCAATACCATAGTCACACAATTCCCTCGTTAACCCTTTAACTACTGATGTGGCCCACGTGAATCTTGTCTGTTGCACCAAATGGCTCGCCTTTTAGTTGAGTTTGACACCCTTGGTCTAGATAATAGAAACAGGCTCCTCAAGAAATGACAGGACAAATGGATATCAATATGTAAAAGGGGGAATTTGAGCTTTGCTTCATCCCATGTATGAAAAAAAATCCTCCAATGAAAGACATAAAACAATTGAACCCTTAGAAAAAATGATACAGGTAAATCTTCATAACCTTGAATTTTGCCCTGGATACTTATCTGACACCCAAAGTACAAGCAGCAAAGGAGAAAGATAAACCGAACCTTTGCAAATTCTCTTGCATGAAAGTGGAAACAACAGAAATACAACTCACAGTTTTGGGGGAAGACATTTGAGTCATATCTGTTCATTCCTTGGTAGTCATAATATCTAAATTTTTATGACCCAACAACAAAATGCTGTTAATTATGGGATGAGGGCCAGACTAGATACTTAGTTCCATGAAGAAGACATAACAAATAACAAACGATCCCAGAGAATCTCAACATTCTAAGTCATTAGGGAAATGCAAATCTAAACCACTAGTAGGAATCACTGTGTAAACCACTAGGATGGTATTATTAAAAACCATAATGGAATAGGATCGACAAGCATGTGGAGAAATTGGAATCTTCTTCCACTGTATTTTAGGAATTCAAAATGGAGGCGCTGCCATGGAAACCAGTTCTTAATTTTCCACCGCGGTGGTAACACAAATGCACTGGTGAGCCTTCATTTCATGTACTTTGGACATGTTATCTGGAGGGTCCAGTCCCTGGAGAAAGACATCATGCTTGGTAAAGTGGAAGGTGAGTGAACAAGAGGAAGACCCTAGACAAGGTGGTTTGACCTAGTGGGTGCAGCCGTGGGCTCAAACATAAGGATTGCCAGGCAGCATAGGAGCAGGCAATGTTTCCTTCTGTGGTACACAAGGTCACAATGAATCAGAGCTAACTCAATGGCAATGAACAACAGCAACATGGATTTGTCACAATACTTTTGATGCACCCTTGTGCAAATTTATTGCAAAGTACAATGATGACCTTTGAGCTTAAAAATATGAAAGTATAGACACATTGGCACTAAAACCTCATCCCTAAGCTGCAGAATTGTCTTGAATGTTCTCCCATTATACCCTATGCTTTGGGGGTCAAGAATGACTCTAATACCAAGTCCTTCAGCATTTATACACACTTGGAGATGTTGAATAACTCCGCCTTTTCCTCTCACCCCCGGAATTGGTGTTTTCTCCTCTCGAGTTGGGAAATTACCTTTTCTATGAGACTACTTCCCCTTTGGCCCGCTCATATGTTGGCTGTTTTTCCTGTCAAGAGTAGTGACATTAAAGAGTTGGGACCTTCTGGCTTCAATGTCCCTTCAAAACCATTCTCTTGACCATTCTTTAAATTCGAGCCTCATTCTGTCAAGCTATTGTTGTCCAGTAAATTTTCCACTCCTCACCACACCCTGGGACAGTGTAGTACTGTCCTCACAGGGTTTACTACTGTGGTCTTATGAGAGCAGATCACAGGTGTTTCTCTGCAAAGCCGGTGGGTTTGAACCAGTAATCTCTTGACGAGCAGCCGGAGTCCTTAAGCATGGTA